GTGTGTAGATTTTATTCGTGCGTCCAAGCGCGTTCCACCATCGCCATTCTGGCGTGCTTTTCAATTCCTCGTGGCAATTGCGACCAATCTGGGCGTGGAATTTCCAACGACTACTCGTTATCATTTATCGGCGATAAGCTGTCATTTGCGTCGTGCCGTTTTTTCGCTGCGTAATTCAACGTATCGGACGTTCTGAGAACTCTAAAACCGCCAGAATACAGGTTATCCAGGTCGGATCCTGTAAACTGCTACTAACGATATACTCGGGGAAGAACTCGGTGTTTACCGAAGTCATGCGAAAATTTCTCAACTCGGTACCGGATACGAGTTGACTCGCTATTCGGTTAAAAATTTCAAATTGGATTGATTTCCATCGAGAAAATGTTTCGTAATCTCTCTTAATTTTCGCGTCGTATCGTCTTGTTCCGCGTCAGACGTTCGAGAAGAAGGTGATTCTCTTAACGAACGAAAACACCGTCGAATCCGACCGATTAATCCCCCTCCCCCAATGTTTGCGTGTCCGCGTGCGAGTAGCGAGTGGACAGGCTGGCGTGTTGCGATTGTGTCAAACTCGTTTATCAGCCAATTCACGGGCACATTTTAAATTGATTGAATGCACTCGCGCCGTGCACTTTCGTTATGCTCGAGTAAACTCGAGCTCGGCCCGGTACGAGTTGATCTCCGTTCATGGACTGCGCGCCGCGTACGCTCGGCGCACGCGATCACGTGCGATCGCGCCGAGCCTCGAGCGAGAAAATCTGTCGCGACGCCCGTTCGATCGTCACTCGCGCGGATGAAAGAAATCCGCAACGTTGCAGGAACCTGTTGATTTGCGCGCGTTGCCTTTTGTAAATAAATTCCACCGCTCTATGCCACTCTCTCTCTCTCTCTCTCTCTCTCTCTCTCTCTGTTTTCTTTAGTGTTTTAGCTAAAGCGGAAGTCCTCTCGGACGAATACGCGTTTGTTCTGCGTTCAGCTCTGTAGTTTCTCAAACCAGCAATTTTCTCCTCTTTCCTCTCTCTCCACGTGCGGATTGTGTGTCTCGTTGCATTCGTTAAATTCGCAAAGACTGTTCTCACCTGTTAATTACGATCGGCTCGACGTGGGTGGAATTGTTCATTTCTTTTTGTACAAATTAAACGAATATTCCTCTCATAAAAGCATCTGATTTTGTTTAGATTTTGTTTCGCTTTCACGGGTCTCGGAATTTCCTCCGATTTTTCAGAAAAATCACGGCGTGGATTCATTCGTAATAGCGGCGCATTGTTACACGTAACAGTTGTTGTTGATTGTTTTAAGTACTATACTATACATCAGGTAGGCACGATAATTAAACCCTATGATCTGCGTCTCGTTTCTCACGCGTTGCAAAGAGGCACGAGATGAAACATCGAAATAAAGTATATTTTTCCTAACTTACGTGAATGTGAAATCCTGTTACGATCATTTCCTACGAAGACTCTGTTACCAAAGGTAAGTAATTATATTATAAAATATAATTCTCCTCAAAGTTACCAATGTACTCAACAATCGCTATATTTCGAGCAATTGACATAAATATACATGTATATATAATCACAGATGAGCAGT